TTACCATGAGGTAAGCTAGTGTCCGAATAAAAAACACATCCAATTCCACAGTAGCTATCCATATGCTTACACTTACAACAGGAGAGGTAGCTGCCCACCTTCTTTGGGGTTTAGCTACATCGCATTTACTATGGAAGAGCTAATACGCTGTAAGTTTATCTCTCAATTATTTGTGTGCACAGATCCTTAACTGTCTGGTAAAACTACCTGTTCCTTTTAAAATGTAACCTATGAAAAGGTTAAAGGACGCTGGGGTTATTAATAGGGACTTGAATGTAGCAAAGTTTATATTTCAGAGCAGGGCAAAAGTTTAAAAAACTAACAGGATTAAAAATTCAGAGGCAATATTACTGCATATATAAGAAATGAAATCAGCCTTAATGCTGGCCAGAGAAAGTGGAACAAGTTCATATTCAAAGGAGATACAACGGAATAATGCAGACAGGGTTGGAAAAGCACAGGGTTGAGATAATGTCTCAGCGGAGGAGGCGGACAGGTGACAACATAATATATAAAATAGTTTATAAAGAACAGTAGAGACGCAAAAGGATGATAAAGTTAATAGGAGCAGAGACAGAAGTATGCAGGAGTTGAAGAGAAAAGACAATGGAATGAAAAATCAGTAGGGAAGCTTTGTATAAGAACCAATGCCATCAGGACCTTACAAAAATGCACTTTTACTTTAAGAGAAAGTAAGGAAGCAATTCCCCATCAACAAAAGAGGAAAGAAATTGACATTGTACTTTATAAATTTAGGCCTCAATTCAGGAATTAGGGCAGCATTTATGTGCGTACTTAACTTCAAGCACCTTCATAAAGCCTTCATTTAAGTAAATTCTGCTATTTTGACAATGTGTTCCCAAGTTTTTCTGAATTCTTTATTTTGTTTTAGATGGAGGGCACAACTGAGATTTTATTTCCCACTGTTCTAGGATACTGTAACGTAAAGCGACAGAGTCCCTTCTTCAAACAGAAGACAATATAAGAGGGATGGGAAGGAGAGGGATTAAATGATGCTTTGCCTTGGGTGTCAGAGCTAGAAACTGAACTCTTTTCTCCCCAATCACAAAACCACCTTTTCTACTAATTTAAATGTGAGAAAGGAGAATGGGGACATAGGGAACAGGCATGGACAATATATTGTAAAACAGCTGTAAGAGGCAACCGAATGAAGATTAATTTAGCCAATGATAATCAAATGATTTTATACAAGTTTATAACCATGTCAATAAATTCTCATTTTATAGATATGTCTGCAGCTTTAGAGATTCATGAATCACTAAGGTCTCTAACACTGATTTTTACTATATTATATTTATAAGCAACAGAAAAGTTAAGATTTTCTTAGAATTCATAATGTGTAATATACACTAAGAGTGAAAAATTTTACCACTGATTCTATCATGCTATAAATCATTTCTTGCAAGAATAGCATATCAGTCAGAGACGAAAATCAAATTTACTAGTGGCAGGAAAACAGAAGATTATGTTTCAAGGTATGAATACTTCATTACCCATACTACTGGCCAACTAGCTAGATTCATAGCTGATACAGCTCCACATTTCCTTAATTTTGCAAATTTCCAATTCAAAAGGAAGATATAAAAGTAGATTCCTATTATTGAACTTGGCTTTTTTTTTTTATTGCTAATCTCTATACACCGTAACTTCATAACACAGCAACATGAGATTGCCAGTCAAAGTTGCAGAGCACCCTAATTTGATTAAAAATCAAAAAACTTTTTTTCATACGAGCTGGTAAAGTCAATTATGCTTTTTCTCCACCTGTATTTCTACCTAACTGTTTTATCTGTTTGCCTCTCCCAGCATTACTTCCTCTCCTCCCTTCCATGTCTTTTATATTCAAATCACTCTCTTGATTTGACAGACTGCACTGTGCATGTTCTTTCATAGCATCCGATGAACTGAGCTCTTGCTCATGAAAGCTTATGTATCTCTGTTTTAGTTAAGTCTATAAGGTACATCTCTACCCTGACTGACTTAAGACTAACATAGTTAGTTAACTACCGCTCTCTGTTCTTCCCTAAGACAAGTCAATTTCCCCCCCTCTCCCCCCAAAACACGTGTCCAGTGGATCAGGGCCATTCTGTTCATGTCCGTCTCCGTCCCCTGGCCATCCGAAAAGGTTGGGTGCAACTGATCTAGTCTGAGCAATAGAGAACAGATAGACAAACTCCTAACCTCATTGAGGCACCAGGCCATGCAATGGACCCAAATGCCTTCTATGTCTCCACTTCAATATAGACCACATCATCGCTGGAACTAATAGCAAGAGTACGACATCCAAAGTTCATTCAGCTGCAACTCTATCAACATCATATATGCCATCACCTGCTTACAATGCCCATCTGCAGTCTACATGAGGAAAACAGGGTGACCTCTATGTGTAAGAATGCATGAACACCAATCTGACATCAACTGCAGAAAGTCACAAAAGAAAGCCTGTGGCAGAACACTTCAGCCTCCCAAGACACTTCGTCACTGATGTCAGGATTGCTGTTCTCAGGCAGAAAAAAATTAAAAACCAGTTTGTACAGTAAATTATAAAACAAGAAATCATCCACAAACAAGACTGTGTTAAGGATGGTTTAAACAGGAACTACAGAGTCTTACCTCATTGCCTGGATTAGCTTCTGAGACCACCTTGTTCCTATGGGTTTCATCCTTGTTTGCTTGTCTCCTATCACTTTTCTCCCTCCCATCCCTATCCCTCGCTTTCCACCTTGTCTTTTGTATTCTAATTTCTCTCTCCTTATATTCTGCATGTCCTTTCACAGTATCTGATGAAGTCAGCTTCAGCCAACAAAAGCTTGTGACAGACAGACAGAGACTGATCAATCAATTAATCAATATTATTTAGTCTATAAAGGTGCACACATCTACCCTGCCCTCTGACTGTCTTCACACTAACACAGCTAACTTTCTTTTTCTTCTACGTAAAACAGGCCACAGGACTTTCCTATATTTAAGTCCTGTTTGAGCTAGACCATATCTTATAAAAAAGCATTTAATTTTGATGTAAAACTTTCCAGTGATGGAGAAGCCACCCTTGGGAAGCTATTCCAATAGTCTGTTAAAAGAGTTCTTCCCCCTTTTAACTAGCCTGAATTTGTCCAGCTTAAGCTTCCATCCACCATTTGGATCATGTTATAACGCTATCATTAGACTGTAGAGCCTTCTATCAGAAAATTTCTGTAATAACTTGGTCAGCCTATAAAGTTCTGATCAAATTTACTAGTAACCTTGCCTTTAATAACACATTGAACTGAGTCTTTAATAAGAAACATTTTCCAATTAAAGGTCAGCTTTTCTATGAACTCTCCAATTCACCATCAACACCTTCTAGAACTGTGGATATCAGAACATGACATAATACTCCATTAGCAGTCATGAGTACCAAATATTAAACCTCCCTAATCTTATACAATATTCCTTGTTTTCAGAAACAGTACTGACACAGGACTGTGCATTCTAAATCCCACCCTTTTTCAGTCACTTATGTTTTCTTCCAGGTCATTAACAAAAGTGTTAATGTTTTTTCCTGTAGTGGACAGCAAGGTGATCCCTCCAGTCAGACCCATTTCCCTTCTTGAAGACTGTCATAATCATGGCAGCCCTAAGGTCATCTGAGATTTCCCCATCATTCCAGATCTTTATGATGAGGGTGTAAAACTGTGATGTGAGCTCCTCTCCTCCCTGCTTTTAGATTTAAGATTTGAGCAGAGATTCCATCTGCTCCAGACGCCTTTTCATTCTTCATCTGCTCGATGGATTTTCTCACCCGTTGAGGATCAGAGGGATTCCCAGATTGTGTCTGACTGGATGTTGCGGGATGGAGTTTAGGGCACTCTCATTAACAAGTCTTGATTGAGAAAGTCTTCAAAACGCTCTTTCCAATGGGCGTTGATGGCTCCCCTTTCCTTGAACAGGTCTCCTCCATCCTTTGGTCTCAAGGGGATTGGTCCCTGAGTGTGCAGACCATAGATGGCTTTGGTGGCACTGAAAAAAACCACACATCATGGATGTCAGTAAGATGTTGATTCTCCTTCACCTTGTCTTCCCACCACCTGTTCTTCGTATCACAGGTCTTCCTTTGGACTTCTGCCTTGGCTTGTTGATGATTGTGACAAGTGTAGGTATTGTAGGGCTTACTGCCACTGCCAAGAGTTCATTTACTTACAGGCCATGACACAATGGACTTCAACCTCAAATCACCTGGTCTGCCAGGAGATTAATCTTACTTTTTCTGTCCTGCCACAACTTCATTGGTACAATGTTAATAGGAGGCAATACCCCAATGTGATCCTTCAGGTCTCGATCTCTGTCTTCTTCTGTGGGGCTCCAAACCTCCCCTTTACCCCACCCTAGCCACTCCAGATGGAATTCAAAGTTTTTCTTCAGCCTGGTTTTGATGCTGCTCAACTGTCTAAGGCTCAGCCCTCTGTAGCCTGCCACCTGGATGACCATAGTTTTAGTCTGAGACACACCCCATCCAAGGGATGGCCTTAGCCTGGGCTCAAACAGCCCAAAACACAACTGTTTCAGTCTCTCTTTAGATTCAGTCTGTGTCCCCTTTACCTGGGGATCACTCTCTCATATCTAAGAAACTAGTCAATCTAATGCTGCTCAGTACAGATCCGCACAGGTCTACTGGTGAGCATAAACAGTTCCCAATAGGATCTCTCTTCCAACCACAGCATAGCCCCACCAGGGACACTCTAACCTGAAAAAGAGGTCTTCCTTGCTTCCCTCCAGGATCCTCAGCAGCTACTATGCTTCAGTACTTATCAAAATCCTTGTGTAGGCATGCCTCCGCGTGCCTCCTCCTTTTGATCGTTCCTGCAGCATTCTCTGGCAGGGTCAGCAATATCTGCTTGCAGGAATCAGCCACTTCTCTCAGCAGCTTGCAGGCATTCAACCCTCTCTGCTCCTCTCTGGGAACGGAAATACCTCCTGGCAGCTTCCCTCCTCCAATCCGGGGCAAAAGGCTGCTCCGGAAGTGTTGCTCTGATTGCTTTTCCTTTTCTCTGGTCTCCAGCTGCAGCCTCGCCATCTGCTCATGCTGTAAGCTCCATTTACTTTCATTTTCCCCCTCTGTCACTGTCGGCCACTTTTCCTCCCTTAGTCTCAGCTGCCTGGCACATAAGGCACCCTGGGGGGTCTGTTTACTCTCTCTCACTCCTTCACAGCGATTCAGTTTCTTTTGCTTGGAACTGATGCTATTCTGACAAGCACAAGAGAACTTGAACTTGCAACCGATCAACTCTTGGATCTCCAAGTCATTCTCATCAAACCAGTCTTGATGTTTCTTGGTAGAGAAACCAAACGTCTCTTCACAGGTGATGATGACAGTGGACTTGAAGGTATCCCAAGCACTATGACATTTTTCCATTGTTGTTGATTAGAATTCTCCAGTTTTTCATTGAGGCACTGGTAAAAGAGGCCTTGCTTGACTGGATCCTTGAATCCTTTGATGTTGATCTCCCATAGACATTGCTTCTGCTGCAGCTGTCATTTGGGAGCCAGTTTGAATGACATAACCAAGCAGATGAATGCAATTGGTCCAGGAATCATCAGCTCCTAGCATAGCTCAGGTAATACAAACATTTCTGCGATTCTGGGCATGGACAGTGACATAGTTCAGGGGTTGTCAACCAGGTGTATGTGTACCCCTGGGGGTACTTAAGAAGGCTCTAGGGGGTAAGTGAGGATGGAGCACTGCCATGCACCATCCCATGCTGCTGTGCAGCTGCCGCCTACCCGGCTGGACATGGGAGACGGAAGAAGCTTGCACGCAGTGGCTGCCGTCGCTCTGCATTCAGGTGCTTCCCCCATTCTGTGTCCAGCAGCTGCAGGTACACTGCTCCGCATCTGGCCACCAGGGCTACACTGATCCAAAAAGGTCGAAAACCCCTAACATAGTCAATCAAGTGCCAATGCTTAGACTGCAGGTGTTGCCATGATGTCTTGTGACCATTTTACTGGTGAAACAGGGAGTTTGTAATGGTGAGTCCACGTTACACACATTCCTTCCTAAACTATTCCCTTTCACTGGCTGAAGAGTTCCTCCCGGAATCTCAGTGTGGGTTTAGGGCATCAAGAAGCACAACTGATATGATCTTCACAGTTCACTAGCTGCAGAAAAAAATACTAGGAACAACATAAACCTCTCTACATGGCCTTCTTTGACCTCACAAAAGCCTTTAACTCTGTCAACCAAGAAACACTGTGGAGGATCCTTCTGTAGTATGGACACCCAATAAAATTCATCACCATTCTTCACCTGCTCCATAGTGATATGTGATTGGTGGTTCTCAGTAATGGATCTATCACAGAACCCTCTGAGATTAAGATGGGAGGCTGCATCATCGCTCCAACATCGTTCTCAATGTTCCTTACTGCGATGCTACATCTGACCATCAACAAGCTTCCAGTTAAGAGTGGAGCTAAACTACCAAATAGATGGTAAACTGTTTAATCTCACCTGACTCTGAGGTAAAACCTAGACCACCCTGACTTAAATCATTGAGTACGCTGATGATGCTATAGTCTATACTCACTCAGAAACAGACCTTCAGGCAACTGTCCAGGTCTTTACTGACATGTACAAGAAATGGGACTCACACTTAACATTCAGAAGACTAAGATCCTCCATCAACAGACTCTTAATGAGTGGTCCCCAGCTCCAGCAATTCAGATTCACGGTGAGACTCTGGAGAATGTTGAGTATTTCCCATATCTTGGAAACCATCTCTTACAAAAGGCTGTCATCGATGAAGACATCCAACAACCCTTAAAAAGTATAAGTATAGCCTTTGGATGCCTGATGAAATGGGTGTTCCAAGGTCACTACACCAGATTCAAAACCAAGCTCATGGTTTATCAAACCTTCCTAGTCTCCACCTTACTGTATGGAGCTGAGACATGAACAATGTACAGGAGATCTCTCAAGTGGTTGGATAAGTACCATCAACACTGACTACAAAAGATCCTTTGAATCCAGTAGGAAGACCGACCCAAACAACATTAGCATCCTCTTACAAGCAAACACCATGAGCATCAAGGTGATGATCATCTGACATTAACTTTGCTAGGCCAGCCATGTTATCCAGATGTCTGACTCGAAACTCCTGAAGCAAGTGTTATTCTCCTAGCTCAGTCAAGGCGTATGCTCCAGAGGAGGGCACATAAAGCGCTTTAAGGATGTACTCAAGACCAACTTGAAAAAATGCAACATCAACATCAAATTGTGGGAGACTCTCTCTCAGAACCATCCCAAATGGAGGAAGAGTCTGCTGCACGGATCTCAGTACTTCAAAACCTTACAATGACAACAGGAGGCAGAAAAGCAGGAGCAACAGAAACTGTGTTGCAGACCAAATCAAAAATCCAAAGCCACCCACCCCACATGGAAAGACATGTCCAAATTGCAACAGATCCCAGACTGGCCTCAGCAGCCATCTTTGGACCCAGAGATAAAACACTCATAGAAGATAGTCATCCTCAGCTATGAGAGACTGCCGACATAAAAGTGTTAAATAGCAAAGGACCAGGAACTGATCGCTCTGCAATCCCAGTACAAACAGTGACTCAACAGGACATCTTAATTTACAATCACATTTGGAAGTCTAATCCAATTTTTAAACCATTTAATGTATGCCATGCTGATCTTACTAGTTAACTTTAAGAGACTAGTACCATTCCACTTTATTAAATTAATTAAAAGAGCTATCAATTCAAAAGCCTTACAGTGATTTAGGGCTCTCACAGAGACACTACTACCTTTATCAACCAAACTTTAATCTTCTCAAAAAAAAGATTAAAAGTTAGTTTTACAGGGTTTATCTTCCTTAAATCCATGTTGATGGCATTTTATATTATTCTGCTTTAGTCCAGCCCCATTAACACACATCTATTATTTTGACTGGGATTGATGCAAGGCTGACAGACCTACAACTACCCAAAAGTCACCCCATTTACTCATTTATATATTAGTGCATCAGCCTTCTCATAACTTCTGCACTGCTCCAAGATAAACATTAATGAACCAGAGAGGTGTTCAGACAGTTTCCCCGTGCCTCCCCCACCCCGAGCTGGATCCAAGTTATCTTGCTCTTCCAAATTAGAAGTCTAGTTTTTGTAGCTAGTGTTTACTACCTTGAAATGGAAAATATTTCACAATGAAACAGCGATATTATCTGGCTCTTTCTCAAGTGTACAAGTACATCTGCACTTTTTTCCATATTGGTAGTTCAATCACTCTAACCAAATAATAAAATATTATAATTGTTAGGATAGCTTCAATCCTAATTTATATGAAATATTATTCTTTGTCATTTACTCTGCTAGTCAAAAGGTTCTCCTTGGTGGCCTTTGCTTCTCTTATCCATTTTCTACAATTTCTAACTTTTAATGTAGATTCATTACTACAAAACTTCCCTTTACTATTATTTGTTATATTTTTAATATTTTCCAAGATGTTTTTCTTCACCTTTGCAACAAATATTATAAAATCCAGACTCCTAAATATCTTCATACGCGTTTCTTAGCTGAAGAAAGGAAACAGAAACGTATCATAGGACATGCTTCCTAAGCTTGAGAGAGTCCAAAGAACCACTCATATGATGAGAGGCCTAAAGAGCAAGTTATACAAAGAAAGGCTGACATATATGCAACTGTTCAACCTAGAAAAGAGAAGACTTCGGGGGGATTTGGTGGCAGCTTCCAAATATATCAAGGGAGAGCATAAGGGGCTAGGCGAACAACTATTCACCAAAGCACCCTAGGGGAAAACCAGGAGCAACGGTCATAAATTCCTAGAAGAGGGTTTCAGAGTGGATATAAGGAAAAACTTCCTCATGGTTCATGTGACCAGACTCTGGAATAGACTCCCAGTGGGGATCCTGGAGATCTTCAAAAAGAGACTGGACGTGCATCTTGCTGGTGTTATTTGACCCCAGCAATCTTTCCTGCCCAGAGCAGGGGGGCTGGACCCGATGATCGCACGAGGTCCCTTCCAGCCCCAAACTTCTGTGAATCTATGAATTCAGGAGTGACCAACCTGTGGTATGTGGGTACATGGAGAGTTTTGTGTGGCATGTGGCAGACAGGGAGGGGACAGACAGCACAAACAGATAAGGTAGGAAGCAGAAAAAAGAGCAGCAAATCAGGCAGTGAGCACAGGACAGGAAACAGAAAGCAGAGCAGCAGATCTGACAGAGGAAGAGGATTGGAGTGGCACTTAGGGAAGGTGCTAAGTTAATTTATGACATGCCTGGTAGAAAGGTTGCCCACCTCCCTCCCATCATAATTCACAAACCAGAAGGCAAAAACAATCTGTATACATGGGTAGGAGAATAATAAACCTGTGTCTTCAGTTGTAGCAAACAAAATCCTGGGAGCTTATTTCAGAAAGTTCTCATGTTTTTTAATCTCTCTCCTTTCTGTAATATTGCAAGATGACTCTTATTTTGCCCAACAGCTTACCTGTAGCATATCCAAAATACAGGGTTTATTTTCACTTATTAAGAATAGCTTAGCTCAAGATAAAGGATTTCCTTCAGCTACTTCATTTGTAAATACCAATTTCAATAGCAAATTCTCCCTTCCTTCCTTTAGAGTAGCTCTCTTTAAATCTGAATAAGCCATTCAGATTTACATAAGACCCTTTTATATTTCTTCAATGAGAGACCACTTTAATTTCATTACAGTTGCTCTCAGGCTTCCCCTATCCTTCTTAAAAACTGGTACACAATAGGCAAATTCCTAATGTAATATGAGTGAAATGTTCATATTTAGACCTAAACACTGGGCGACACTAAATTTACTGTAGGCTGTAGGTTCCTCGCCTGCCAGGACTCCATGCTTATCCTTGGTTCTTTCCTGATTCCACCTGATGTTCCAGAATTAGTTTAGTTTTGACCAGGGCTTTGACTGCTATGTTCTTCAAAAGTGATTACACTCTTATTCCTGTACCTCTCCTTTTGCATACTGATGACATAATTCATACCTACACATTTAGAGGTAAACACCAGAAGTAATGATCTAAAATTTAACTTTCTTAAGGAGGTGGCCAAGGCTTACACCTAATCATTTTTTTGCATCAATGAGTTATATCATCATTTGCAATGCATCCTTCTGAGTCAATACAAGCAGCAGGACAAAATAATTTTCTCATTTTTTTCTTCTTCTTCAGCATTGTGCTAATCAAATTTGTATAAGGAGACTCTTATAGTCAACTGTCTATGGTGCACAAAATTGAAACAGGAATGCTGTTCAGTAATTCTTGCTTCCTCGTCTTGACTATTCAGCATCATCATGTTCAAAAGCTTGTTTTACCCTTATGACAGGTTTTTAAGTGAACCTGTGCTCTTTAAATTGGTTTCATAAATGGCATTGTGAAGTCCTATGTTTACTGACTGTTAAAAGTGTTCTATCAAGTTCGTAAAACATACAAGAAAAATCAGGGTTTTCTTTAAACTGCCAGGACTGCAAACAACTTGGGTTCTAAACATCTAGGTTTTTCTCTCCCAGCTCACACATAATCAACAGCCAGCACAGAATCTGTCTCCCTCCCTTATGATGAGTTTGTTCTATAGAATTAACCGGAATAAATTAAATACAGCAAAAAATCAGTTCAGACATACAAATCAACAAAGTCAAGCAAGAAGGAGCCATTTCAGTCACTATCTTTCTGAACATAAGCACATATTAATGTTTTTAATTTTTCAATATTTGCTTTATAATTAGAAAACTATTTATATGAAAAAACAGGACTACAAAAACCCAATAATGTCCAACCAAAGGATAAAATTGAATGATTTGTATGATTAAGCTTTTTGTATGATTAACCTTTGTTTGAAAAATATGTTTACTCTAGCAGAAAAATAGAAAAGAAATAAAGAAACAGGCTGCCACTGTGCAATTAGCTTCTTTTTAAGAAGAAAGGTTTTCCTTTCACATGTATACAAGAAAGACCTGATTCTGAAGGTTTAATTCTGTGCTCAAGAATACACTGTGGATGCTAATGCTTATATAAGAAATCTGACTGATATGGTTTACCAATCAGGTAGACATACACCTGCCATAAATTGTGGCATTTGCATCCACAATTAATCACAAGTGCAAAGATGGTTCAGAGGAAAAAAATATATTTGGAAGTCCCTATTAAAAACCAGCCTAACAGAAAACAGCATTACATTAGTTACCATAGTTTTCTTTACAAAGCAAAAAAGGAAAGGAGTTTGCTTTGAGAAATAGAGCTACAAAAATCTACTTCCAAACAAAATACTCACCACTATAACAACTGCTCCTGCTCAAAATTGCAGAAAGATTGCAATAGACTGGGAGATTTATCATCATGTCAAAATTGTAGTGGCTAGTGGGATTTCAGCTGTCCTCAGGGCTTCTGATCTAGTCAAAACTTTGAAGACACACTGTACTTCCTATGTTTTTTAATAGCACAGCCAACATCACATCTGGGGCTCTGTCCAAAAAAATTAAATGACAGAAAGAAACCCGAAATACAGAGAAGAAGGGATTTCAGACAAAATGATGAGTAAGTGCTTTGTAAACAGGAAACTATCTTCTTTGTCCCATTTGAGAAGAGACATTTTAAGAACTCTCAAAAAGGTATCTTCATTATTCTTTATTATTTGCTTGCCTAAGATCACAGAACTGCTTTGTTTCCTTATTGCTCTTTTCTTCCCTTTCTTCCCCCAGACAAATGAACAACAAGTTTGGAAAGAAGATATGGAACATCACACTTTCAGAAAATAGAAGGTCTGATGCTAAGAGAAGGTTTTGCACTATGAAACCCAAACCTCATAAAGCTACTCCATGCTGTTGATTAAATTACATATGCAAAGAATACCACTCTGATAGGCAAAATCATACAATTCAGTAATAATCTTCACTGATGTCATAACAATTTGCATGCTTTGAGCTTCATTTTTAATTGGACATGTTTGTAAATTATTTTGAGTTTCATAATTTATAGTTTCATAGTAGCTAGGGTCAGGAGGGAGCTGAACAGATCATTTAGCCTGACCCCCTGCCACAGGCAGGGATGAATGCTGGAATCACAAGACCCCAGACAGGTGATCATCCAACCTCCTTTTGAATTTGCCCAAGGTTGGGGCGAGGACCACTTCCCTGGGAAGTTGGTTCCAGATTTTGGCTACCCTAACTATAAAATATTGCCTTCTGATCTCTAACCTAAACCTATTCTCCATCAGCTTATTACCATTGTTCCTTGTCACCCCAGGTGGTGCTGGGGAGAAAAGGGCTCTACCTATCTGCTGTTGATCTCCCCTGAGTTCTTGTGGTAGAAACCATTATAGGAATGCAAACAACACAATCCCATTTTACAGATAAGGAAATTGAAGCACAGAGGGTTAAAGTGACTTATTCTATGAGCAAGGTGTCAAAATGTACCTACCCTCCTCCTCTGGACCAGATCCCCACCCCACCCCCCTCCCCCGCTGTTGGCCACACATGCAAAATTCCCAGATGGAGCAGCTCCTTGGGCTGAATCTAGCCTCAGAGTCTCAGACATATAGGAAAAGTGAAGAAGAATAAGCCGGTATGGCAGGGGGTCATTTGTGTGGCATTTCCTGCGGGCTGCCCTACCACCGGCAGTCCCACCACACCAACCAACCCCGGCAGGGTGCAGTTTCAGATCTTACCCAGGACCAGTGGCAGATCAGCCTGCCCTGTCCTAGAGCTCTCTCCAGTTTTCCCTCAGTGTACACCTTCTCTCATCTAGGAGACTTTTCTCTTCTCTGGCCTCTAGTTCTCCTTCAAGCTCACCATGGCCCCTGTTCAGCCATATGCCCAGTCCCATGCATCTCAACTTTCAGGTGGCTCTACTCACCCCCTTCATATGAGTTGAGATGGATCCGGCTCCCACCTCTCACCAGTGGTCCCCCACTCTAGGGACCTTTGCCTGTCTAGGCCAGGCCCTGCTCTCTGGCCAGTCAGGGCGCCAGGCCCTCTATGACACTGACCTACTCCTTGCGGTGGGCACCTTTGCCCTTTAGCCCCTCCTGGGCCAGTCAAGGTGGTACAATGCCTCCCTGGCCATCTGCCCTCTGACTCTCTCTGGGCCTCACTCTCAAAGCCATATACCCTTACATTGGTTCTGGGGCCTCAAGTGCCTCATATTCTTCACCCTCCGCACTCTCCCAGTACCCCTTTTTCCTGGCATTGCTCTACTCATGCCCCGGCCACTGAGCTCCGTAGGCCTAGTCTAATTCATCTGGTGGCCCACTGCCCTGGCCAGGCAGACACCATTCTCTCTGGCCCATGGGGTACTCTCTGGGGTCCTGGTCGCATGGTTCCACTTTCTCCATCCCAGCCAGGCTAGGGACCCTCTGGGGATCCCCTGGTATCTCCTCCATCCGCAAGAGTTCCTAACCTTCCCTCCAGTTATTCCAGGAGCTGCAAGCCTCAAACTGTGTTTTGCGACTCCTTCAGCTCCCCTGATGTAACTCCTAGACGGCAGCCCTCTGCCTGAGCTGGAGCCCTAACCCAGCCCAGGCTCCTTAGGCAGCTTCCTGCCCTGCAGTAGCATAAGGTTTTTTATTGGCACCATTTGCCTGCCTCCCAAGTAGCAGGCTGCTCTAATGAGGCCTGGGCTTGCTGACTAACTTTAAAGTGTCAGGCACCATCAGTGCCCTGACACAGTCAGGAAAAGAACAAAATGATTGTCTTCAAGTCCAATGCTTCAAAGCCCTGTACATACATTAAATGAACCTTTAAAAAGCTGCAGTTGTAAGTAAAGAAAAAAGGGGAAGCAGACAGTAGAAACTGATAAATGAAAAGGGTAAATATGGAGATATAATAAGCCAATTAAGAATGCAACTAATAAATGACAAGTTAAAACCCAAATTCTCAAGCAAAAGATGACATCCTTCCCTTTCAGTCTTCATTTCATCATTTGAAAGGGGAAGATTTTATCCACCTTACCAAATGTGTCTTATAGATAGGAAAAAAAAAGTTGAAGGATTTTAATTTGACTAAGCAATGACAACAGGCAATCTGGCTTAAACATATATATATATACTGTCTGTTACAAATAGCTTTTTAATAAGAAAAAGGTGTTCAATTATGGTCACTAAAATATACAATCATATTAATAACATTCTTCATGGTGTTGACTTCAGTACAACTCCCTAAGAGCCTGATTCTGAGCCCAAAGAAGTCAATAGGAGAACTTCCACTGAATTCACAAACCTTTGGATTAAGCTCTCAACACATACAGAGAGAAATTTATCATTAGATGCCTTTACCTTTTTTCAATGGAGTTAGAACAGAGATCAACTGGACTTTAAGTGACAACTGCCATGACTCTGATCTCTAAATCCTCAAAGCAGTAAAAAAAAAGTAATCTGGATTACTGATATGTAGAATCAATGGAAGCTGCATACCTGACACCCTAACACAACACACTGAAATTGTTTGCTTTTATATTTTTTGTAGTCAACTGGAAGAAATTTTCTGATCAATATACAGAAGTAGTACTTCAATGGAGAGATGACTAAATGTCTCCATCATGCATGAAATATGACCACGCTATGTATACATACAAGTACATACAAATGGCAGACAAGGTTCCTTGGGTGAATCTGATATCTTTTATTACACGAAGAGCACACACCAACTGCTGAAACTTCCTTAGCCTGGCGAACGGTTTTTGAACCCGAAAGCTCGCTTAATAACTACTCTCCAACTATTTGGGTTGGTCTAATAAAAGATATCAGATTCACCCAAGGAACCTTGTCTGCCTATGTCCTTAGACAAACACGGCTACAACCTACACCCCTACAAATGGCATGCACTGATTTTTGTCCACAAATGTAAGAATTACAACAGTCAATCTAGATAAAAAAATATATAATCTTAACAAGGAAGTTAAGATTATATATTACCCTTTTCAGTTATCAGGCACTTAACATTTGATCAGAGTAAAAGTAGTATGGATCTTGATCTGATAGCCAATGGGCAGCTTCAAGACCCACTGGTACTAATGACGCTTCGCAACTTGTACAACTGTCCCTTTTTATCCTCTCACTGGAGAATGCACATGTGGATGCATGTTTTCCCTCAAAGCATACATCCACAGGACACTTTAAACAGCACAAGTGCATGGCATAAATGGCTTAAGAGAAATCTGAACCTCAGAGACCCAATTCCTTGAGCCAAGTGCAAATTGTGCTCTTAGTTTTATTTACATACTACTCAGAGTCAGTGTGTTTGCTTGCAGTAGTTTTCGGGCCTTAAAGTCTGAACCAAAGCCAACGGAAAGATTCCAGCTTACTTCAGCGCGTTCCAATTCATAGGCCTGGGAGGGATGTGCCAGGCAATCAAGTGCAATCCCTCACTATCACAACAATCACATCATTTAACCCCACTCACAAAAAAACTCTCTTCTTTTATGTTCCAGCATACATTTATTCATGGACAATTCATATCCACTTGTTTTTATATCAACAGGTTCTTCAGCTGAAACATGCTTCCCTTGAAACACCAGGGAATTTGAAGAGATTGATCACACCTCTTTCTCTACCGTCATTTCGCTAGGCCAAACACCTGATCACCTTTAGTCTGGTTTCATAACACACTGCGCCCCACTCCGCTCCCATGGTTACCAGTATTCAGTAACATTGCTCCCCCTCAACTCTGCTGCACAAATGCCAAAGTCAATTTAGCAGTCAGACTCCAGGATAATCCCACGCTGCCAGTGCACTGGGACACATTCCACCCACCAATAGCTCAGTTCCCCTCAAGACACCCTTTTTAAAACCCTTTGACTTTTCCTTACTTACTCAATGGCATGAAAAATGGCCAGCACAAGCACCAATCAATCACCACATCACCTCTGACCCTACCATCAGTCAACCAGGATTTAACTGGTCACGCCGTTATTGGGCACTTCTCAACCATTTTCGAACTGGACAGGGTCACTGTGCCTCAAACCTGTGCCAATGGGGCCTTCGCAATGACAACAAATGCCCTCGCAGACAAATGCAAGCCATGTCCCATATTGCTGACTTGTGTCCATTTACAATGCTACCTTAGGAAAAACTCTCTCGTAAGGAGGGTAGTAAAACACTGGAACAGGTTACCCAGAGAGGTGGTGGAACCTCCATCCTTGGGGGTTTTTAGGACCCGACTAGACAAAGCCTCGGCTGGGATGATCTACTTGGGGATGGGGAATGGACCAGATGACCTCCTGAAGTCCCTTCCAACCTTAATTTTCTATGATTCCCCCTAGAGCAATAAATAACACGAGCTAAATGCTATAATGTAACCTTTTTTTATTTATTCATAATTAAGAAGCATGTGCCCTCCTTTCTGCTCTAGTACACAGACAATAGATTAAATGAACAGCAGCCAATGATTATATTGTACAGTAAACAGAAATCATAGGCCTCTCCATTCAAGCATCAGCTATTACAATTTTCCTCAAAGGTGAGCATGCCAAGGCAAATGCTGTTAAGGCTCTTTAATGTTCCTTTATGGCACATACAAACAACCTCTATATCCCCCTCACCTCCAAATATTTTCTTTGCTTGTTTTTCACATGGAAACATCAACCATAACAGCCTTTTTGCCAGAAACCCTTTAAAAGACCTTTAAGGGACATGGAAGATCTCACACAGCTTAAATGGCAGTTCATCCAACTTCCAACTGAGAGGGAGGGGGCAATAAGTCCTCAGTTAAACCCTTTCACTCTTAAGTTAAGTGACACTCCTTTTTTTTTTTTTTTTTTCTCTTTTATTGATTATTACTCTCTTTTCTGCTCATCACCCTTCCTCTTCCCAGTCCAGCTAAATTCTTTGGTTTCAGTCCTAAACGCTCCGATCATTCCCGACCTCAATCCCTTCATACTTAACTTCAGTACAGGTACACCCCTGGGAAAAATGTTTTGGACCCACTCCCATCCATGCACTTCAACCAGGGTGCAGGCCCACTGAAATAAAATAAATTACTAGCATACATTAAGAGCCCTTCACATACTCAAACTCAAGTGTTTTGCTGCATCAGGCCATAGCTGCATTAGCCTTTTTTATTATAACATTTACAAAAAGCATCGTATTACTGTTCTTAAAAATGGTCTTTAACAACAAACAATTTCTATAAGCACTGTACATTTGTATGAATCTCAGTGAATGCAAGATGGCTAGGTCCTGTACAAGTAACCTGCTTTGCTTCTTATTCATTCCAATTTGCTTTTGTACCAGTCAGTAAAAATTCACAAAAGCTCAGGAGCAGGTCCCTCTGGTGGGTCTAAGGCCTAACATCTAAAAAAACAAAGCATTTTCAAAACAAACAGTCCTCTGTGACCTAATACAGTCTCTTACTGCTGCATTTTAAAAAGGAAAACTTAAATTATGCAAATAGATCTGAGTTTTGAAGTCTAATATCCTACCTGCAACCATTTACAGATGCTTCACAGGACGCAAAATAATCCAATTCATTCACTGTGCAATGCTGTATATAAGGGAAAGAAATTCCTTTTCCAGCAATTAGCCAACCTGTTTATCTGATCTTGCCACTCCTCTCTTAGCCACCATCAGAACCAGTGTTACTGAATATAAACTCAAGCTACACAACTGGACCCTGGCCTGCAGCTATGACCCACAATAAACTATGCAAAAAAGTATTTTATTCTGTTATAAATGTACCTATCAATATCACTACAGCCCTTCTTTCTGATTTTATAGGAAAGTGGTAAAAAAAAAATAAAAAAAAAAATCAAGGATTGATGCATTGTTTCTTGTATTATTATGTCGTTCATATATCCATCAGTCAAGACAAGTAACTTCTTCAAAGTTAAGTAATTTTAAATTTTACCATCACAAACAAGTTTCCCAATAATTTCACCTTTCACTGGATCTTTTCAGTATGAATTAAAGTAAAATGACCAAAACTAAGCACTCCTTTCTCAATGAAGGCATGTTCATCATCATGTAATATAATCTGTGTTACAGTCTATTATTTCTTTTTCCAAATGCATCCTTGGATGTTTTTTTAACACCAGCTGTAAACAAGAAGCTTACAAAATCCATTTATTGTTCCTTAGTAGATATGTTTTAGATCCCAATGCAATGCATACGTTTTTTAACCTATATGCAGTATGTCTACTACTTATCTAGCAACTTGTGCAGTCCTCATCACCACAGACCTCAGGGTGTCAATATGGACTTCAACCTTAACCTTTAACCTTATCCTATCACATATTGAAGGGCTTTTTAGCATATGGAAAAGTGAAGCAAGCCAGATTAATTCACTTGCCCAGTCACACAGACAGCCCCTGGCTGAGCTATGAGCTGAATCCCAGTATCCCGTTTCAGAGCCCTATCTATTCTGTAATCAAATGGTTCTCAGCATTTCCCATACCAGATCTTCTCTTCTGAGAAACAGACAGGGTGCTCTTGTCTGATGGCAATTGCCAGGCTAACTATCCATGCAATACATGACTTCTCTGCAGGAATGTTTTATTCCTCCCTATACAGTGATCCAAACAATTAATCACCATTATTTCTTTCTGTACTTCAAGGTAATTAAATCCAACTGGACAGTCTTACGGTCTTCTATATTTTTTATTAAATTACTCAGAAATTTTCTGAGTAGACTGGCTAAGGCAAGCAAACTCTTCATAACATTTTCAAGGTCATTTCTTTACATAGAAACTGTCATACCAGGTCCAAGACCTGGTATTTTCACTTTTAGCCCTTATAGCAATTATTGTTTAACACATGAAGAAGCAAAAGGGAAGGGAAGGAGGGAATAGGGTATTTGTAATGTGCTCAAAACTACTTCCTCTCCTACTGAAATACCTCAGGGGTGTGTGTGTGGGGGGGGGAGGGGGGGGAAGAGAGATACTTGCTTCCAACACTGTGAGAAGAATAAACTAATGCAACTTTTCTGAATTTTTCTTTTATCCATAGCATTCTTGAGGGGGAGAAATATAGCAAAATTTGGAGTACACAAAGGAGAAAGCTTATAATAAGGATAGTAAAGATATTAGGCAAATCTCCCCCTAGTGTTAACACACTTATCTCCTGAAATATTTGGCTCATTCTAGTCTGGACAATACCTGGACAGGGTTTAAACTTACTAAAAACCTGTGCTTATTCAACAACGTTCAAAAGGGGTTCTAAAAACAGTGAAATGGACCCCTTTCCAATGACTCTATTATCCACTAGGGACAGAGATTTTTTAAAAGAAACTGCACACTGAGTAGAGCTACTCAAAAGTTCACCAAAAACATTTTAGATTAAAAAATAAGTACATTTTTAAAACATTGAATGGGGGGAGCACACAATAGGATCTTTCTACACGAGGTGATCTGCAGAAAGCAAAAAAATGGAGAAAGCACTGATAAAGACTAAGATTAGACTCATTCCCCAATTTTCTATATCAGGACTGTCCAATTTCTGGAGTGGAACTGCAGCTCCTCTGGCCACTTGCTATGCAGGCAGCATGTCCCCAACCCACATGTTGCACAAGCCATGCATAGTACCACGCTGTACAGGCACCCTGCCCCATGGCACCATGCTCCACCACCACACACACACACACACACACACATACACACACACTATGCCAGCACCCTCACCTGCCTCCATGGCCCCTGCTGCACTGCATCCCCAAACCCCATAGCAGGCACCTCTGCTGTACCCGAGCTGTGTGGAGTCCCCCAGCAACAGGCCTCTTCTGGCTGCTCCACACTGCCCCATTCCCAGAGGTGGGACAAGAAGCAGAAACTAAAGGATGGAGAGTGTCTGAAGACTCCAGCAGCAGGAGCAGTGGGGTGTGGACCAGGCACATTGGGGGGGGGGGTCACAGCTCAATCCCTTTGGGGCCACATGCACCCTGTGGGCTGCCAGCTGGACAGAGCTGGTCTAAACCAAAATCTGAACTTCAGAGATGAGATATGAAACATGAAAAAAATTCCTAAAAAGCATGGCAACCTTCTACAACACTAGTGAGTTTTTTGAGTTATTTCATTTAAAAATCCAGTGAAGTAACTACATTTGCTGGGAAACATGCACTAGCAAAGGTGGTCTGCATTTGCTGAAAGTGTCTAAGCATTTATCAGAGGATTACTGTGTATCATTCAAATCCAAAACAAGGCTTTTTTCCCCATATAACATGAAGAAAAAAAGCCACCAGTCTTGGATTCAACTACAAGGCAGTAAGGAGACAGACACCTGATATGGCTCTGACTCCAGCCCTGACCCTGGGTTGCGGCTGGGGGCCGAG